TGGAGTGAGGGACCCAACACTGAACCCAGCAGTTGAGGTGTGACCTCACCAGTGCCCAGTCCAGGGGGATGATCACTGCCCTGGTCCTGCTGGCCACACTATTCCTGATAGAAGCCAGGATACTATTTGCCTTTTTGGACACATGGACACATTGCTGGCTCATTGTTGACCAACAAACCCAGATACTTTTCCACCACCAGCTTTCCAGTCACTCTTCCCCAAGCCTGTAGCGCTGCATGGGGTTGTTGTGACCCAGGTGCATGACCCAGCACTTGGCCTTGTTGAACCTCATACAGTTTCCCTCAGCCCATTGATCTGGCCTGTCCACATCCCTCTGTAGAGCCTTCCTACCCTCAAGCAGATGAAACAAGCCTCAGAGCCCTGCAGAGCATCCCTTAGGTCTCCTCAGAGACCAGGACAGACCTTTAAAACACACGTCCCAGCAGCCACGTCCCTTGTTCCTCACACAGGACAAGCTGTGGTATGTGTCACATCCTTCCATCACTTACACCATGTGTTTGGAGAACCCCATTCCCATGGTTATAGAAGTGGGATACCAAGTGTTGTGAATTTGTCAGGGCAATGCAATTAACTAATTGAGTTAATTAGTGTGTTTTGCTTACCATAATGAGAGTGTGATGCAGTGTAGAGTACGTGGTGAAATGCAACATTGCCTGGCAGTGTTAGGATGCAGTGGTTATAAAATTGGATTCTGGCTATGGTTATAATTGTGTTGGAGTTTAGGCTTTGGTGCTGAAATAAATGAGAGAAGCTAATGCTTGACTCGGGCTGCAGACCTTCAGAGGCTTGGAGGTGTTGCTGTGGAATGTAAATGTGCCTTTTCTTAGCATTAAAACATTGTTCCAGAGATGTGTTTTCTACTTCAAGGGGTCATTATAGGCACCTAATTCTATATTGGTGACCAGAGCAGTCTGCAGCAGACATTTCAGAAAGTGCTTATTGCTTTTTCATACTCTCAGGACATCTGAATGTGCTGCACCAATTGGCTGCAAGATCCCAAAGCTGCCACTCATCTTGAAAATCTAAATTGATGCCTGCAGCACTGATGTCAATTTGTATGTATAAAGGCTTAATACAGCAAAGGGAAATGTACTGGCAGACAGCAGGAGGAACGTCTGAGAAAAGAACTAGAACCATCAAGGATACTTTATCAGTCTAATGTCTGTTTTATTCACATGGAATAAGATTTGCTGATTTTTTTACAGGGGGAGGATACTGTTCTGCCACCCATTTAATAGCTATTTCTGCTATCATTGCTAAAACATTATCAGGGTCATTTGAAACGGGACTGCAAGATACTTTGAAGCTGAAGATCACCTGCAGTGTGATGATGCTTATTCTTGGCAGTCTGTCTGTCCCTATATCCTCTCTCCTGCAGCAGCAATTACCTGCTGAATCAAAAGAGCCTTTCTTTAGTTATCCTCGTTTGGGCAGAGGAGTCATTTACCTGCCTTGTGCTGAGCCTGTGCCAGCATCCCAAGGACAGATGAGCCGTGTCATTTTATCCTGACATGTTTCTGTCGATATTATTCTTATGGATCTGTCTGAATCATTTCTGTTTGATGTCATTAAGCAGCAATGCAGAGTTCTGCTTGAGTTGGCCTCTGCTGTAAAATAGAAAAAAAACCCAAGATGATGATGTGTCGTGATGTGCCATCCACGCTGCTAAATAGATGGCTCTGCAAGGCAGCTGCGCTTGTGCGAGGCACCTAGCAGAGGTTCAGGTACTAGCAAAATCTTTCCAACTTCCTAGACTGAAATAGAAATCCATTTACCCTTCACAAGCTGTTCAGTGTCTTTCATGCTGCTTTTCCCTAATCAGTTCTGAACTATTTTTTTTGCTTGCACTGGGATTTTCACAGAATGTCAGGGATTGGAAGGGACCTCAAAAGATCATCCAGTCCAACCCCCCTGCCAGAGCAGGAACCTCAATGAGATCACACAGGAAGGCGTCCAGGCGGGTCTTGAATGTCTCCAGAGAAGGAGACTCCACACCCTCCCTGGGCAGCCTGTCCCAGGGCTCTGTCACCCTCACTGTAAAGAAGTTTCTCCTCAAGTTGAAGCAGAACCTCCTGTGTTCCAGCTCACACCCATTGCCCCTTGTCCTACCACTGGGCATCACTGAGAAGAGCCTGGCTCCATCCTCCTGACATTCACCCTTAACATATTTATAAACATTAATGAGGTCACCCCTCAGTCTCCTCTTCTCCAAGCTAAAGAGCCCCAGCTCCCTCAGCCTTTCCTCAGCAGGGAGATGCTCCACTCCCTTCATCATCTTGGTGGCTCTGTGCTGGACTCTCTCCAGCAGTTCCCTGTCCTTCCTGAACTGTGGGGCCCAGAACTGGACACAATATTCCAGACGTGGCCTCACCAGGGCAGAGTAGAGGGGGAGGAGAACCTCTCTCGACCTACTAACCACACCCCTTCTAATGCACCCCAACTTTTCTAACTTCCCTCCTAGTAAGTTATCCTATTTGATGCTTTAGAATAAAACAGGCAGCAAAACTGGCTTTTGAGCAGGAAATCTTGCAGATTTCACAGCAGTGGCCAATAAACATGAGAAAAAAAAAAACCTGTCCAGCATTGTTCTTATTAACTGTACTCACTGTTGATCTGTCAAATCTTTTTGAGCAGAGTTTAAGGTCTGTTCTGGAAATCTCATGCCTCTCTATTCTTGTAGGCCAAGCTGGTGGGAAATGGAGGGGAAAGAAAATGATCTGCATTCTGGAGCAGCACAGTAGCATCCCAGCATTGCACTGAGAAGTCACCTAAGCTGTTCCTTGACTGTCCTTCTCACAAGCCTCAAAACGAGATGGTTTTTGCTATGAAGGTTTAAAATAAGACTTGTGTGATATTTTTATGCCTTTCCAGATTGCTGACCCTGAGACCTGCGACCGAATGTATGAGAGCTTAGTCAGAATCCACACCAACTACTACAAAAACAAGGTGAGCTTTACCATTAGCCATCATCCCTCTTTTAGGAAGTGAGTCACCATCTCCTGCAGTTGGCTGCCTGGTCCCAGCAGGATTTCTGGGAATGTGTAACAGCCAGATGAGCGGTCAGGTGGATGCAGCACTACCTGGTGCCTTTGGTCACTCCGGGAAAGCTGCAGATATCTTGGCCTCTGTGACATGTGTGAACAATGCAGATGATAATTCTTGGTATGAATGAAGAGAATTCTTTGAGCTTGGCTGAAAATGAACTCAGACTCTGCTGTATGGTGACATTTTTACCTGTTTTAATGCACTACAAGTAACATCTTTTTCTTTCTCTCTCCTTCTCAAACCTACTTTCTTGCTTGTGAAGTATCCACGCCTGAAAGACACCAACTTCACTGGAGTGACGGTAGAAGATTGCAAGATGATCCTAGCAACAGGTACTAATACTGTCCTTGATTTGAGCATCAGTACATTCTAGTCTTTGTGGTGTTCACTGCATCACTTCTACTAAACACCTGTGACTAAAGGACAGAATGGGCCTGTGCTGCAAGTATATTAGGATGTTTAATGAGGAGTAAGTTCAGGAATAATTGAGGACATCTTCAGTAATCTATCAGAGCGAAAAGTCAATTGTATTTTGCACTGGGCAGGAACAGCAGAGGGTTTGCAGGGGCTCTTTGAGATCAGCTAGCAGGAGCTATGTGAAAGAAATGCACGTTTGCTGCATCATTCCAAAAAATTCTCAGCTTCTGTTTCACCATGTTCAAATTCCCTTCAGTATTTCTCCTCTTTGTATTAGACTTTCAGAGAAAACAGTGTACCACGATGCAGAAATGCTCTCAGCCAGATCATTTATTAAGTGCAATGTAGGAAGCTAGTGCAGTTTTGTTCTGCTCCAATTCCTAACTTTGATTGCAGTGCGTGGAAAGTGAATATTAGTTGTTAGTGATAAGGGACTCCCTGCTCAATTGATTGGAAGGGAAAACAAACTTGCCTCAGGCCCTGAAATAGAAATTCATTAAGATGAAAAGTCAAAAAAGGAAAATGTATGTAAGGCAAAGCTGTTAGGGGGCTTTCATTCCTTTGCTTTTCTTCCTCTTTCCCCATCTCTCTCTCTCTCTCTCTCCTTTTGCAGACATTCTGAAACAGATGGAAGACATGAAAAAAGGGACATGGAAAAAACTGCGAGAAAAGTTTTATGCCAAGAAACCTGAAGAGGACTCAAAGTGATAGGCTAACTCCCAGATTCTCTGCTGTATATATTCCTAAAGAACTCTATGTTGCCATGATGAATAAAACCATTTATTCCTCTTAGCAACAGCATTTTTGTTCTGACCTACACCTTTCACTTTTAGTGCCTCCTCCTTTTATTTTTTTCCTGAAAAATCTAGGCCATAGCTTAACACATCTGTGCTGAAACCATATTGGAGCAGTGTAGTGTAGAAGAAAGAGCTTTGTGGTGTTAGACCAGAGCCTGTGTTACAAGAAATGGAACAGCCAGGAGATGCACAGAGTCAGTAGGTACAACTGTGTTAGCTTTAAATGTGCTTGGGAAGGTAACAGTAGTGATGATGTGAAAAGGCAGCTCTGCTTGTGTTTCTGTGTGTCAGCACTGGTAACAGTGAAATTGAGGGAGGGATAACTTTTAATAATCACATTTATTTTTCCTTTTGAGAAGACAACAGGAGAGGAATGAGGGTGAGTTTACTGTGGTGATGGTGGGACAGTGTTAAAGGGTTTAATTGAGATTTCAATCAGATGCTGCAGTGGTGTGCTGCTGGTCCAGCTAGCTATATGCAGATTTCCTTCAGTGTGAAGAGAAGGTTCCGTCTGGGTTACTGCATATCTGTGGGATAAAGATATTGGTATATAGGGCCATAATCAAATTTCAGATGTGCTTAGTTCACTGCTGTGGCCTATTTTTATTCCTTTTTAAAGCTTTAGTGCTTGCATCAGTGTCTATTCTTGGGAGGCAGAGGCACAGGACTGTAGTTGGGGTGGCTACAGCACTGCCTGGCTTGGGAAGGATGAGTGTCTAGAACACAGCGATGCCAGGACTCTGCTTGGCTCCAGGCAGCACCAACAGCTGCTCCTTTTTATGTATCTGAACAGCGTTTTCCTGGCAAGTAGGAAGACTTTGAAACTTTGCAGCAGGCTTTAATCCAAAGCTTCAGAAAACAAGGCTGGTGTTCAAGGTAGTTCTTCATGGTAGCATTCATCTTCTGACTGGAGCATTGTACTGCATTTTAAAGTTTAACATCTGGAGCTGAAAGCATTGGGTTGTGGAGCACCTTGGGTAATACAGCCCTGGTTTGGCTTCAGGTCTTTGGATTGTTCTCTCTTTCTATTTATAACAGCTCCATTACATATCAGAGTGCACAGGAAGGGCGCTTTCTTGACCAGGTTTAAGTTTTTATTGTAACATGATTTTGTATTTAATTTAGTTAAGGCAATTTACACTTTAGTTCTTAAGTAACAGTAACAAAAAAACCAAAACAAAACAAAACAAAAAAGTAAAACATTACGCCAGAGATGAAACTAAAACACAGGACACCCCTTCACAGTGAACTCCTGTAAACCTGCAGTCTCCTACTACTACTGCCCAGATAGCCTTGGTCCACAGAAGGCAAAAGACTAGTTTGTACTAGTACAAGCTTGGATACTCATCCTCATCTGGTGAGTTAAATTAACAAATCCCTCTCCTTTGACTTTAGCTCCTCTTTACTGCACCCCAGCGATGAACAGAATTCTTTAAATGGAGAAGGATCAGCATGGAGCAGGTACAGCAAATACGATGGCTGGTTTGCAAAGATCCACATGTACTAGTGCCACTCTTGGAATAAGTTAAATATTGCAGCCCTACAGCTAGTTACACCACACCTGAGGTGGAGGCCATCAGGGTGTAGCGCATGGAGATAAAGATACAACCCTCCACATTTGCAAAATAAAGAGTTATTGCAATGAGGAATAAAAGTCCTGTATGATTTATCTTCCTACAAGGGCGTTAGAGTAACGTGTGGGTCCAGGTATCGTGAGGAATCCTGGCCAGTCCCTGGTTCCTGAATTTCTTACAAGCTCTCTAAGGGAAATGTTGACTCTGAAGCCCTTCTGCGTGCTCCATCTTTTTTCTGACAGTGACATCCATGAATGGAATCCAGGAATAAGCAGCCTCGTTAGCTGATAACGAATGTGTAGTCCCTCGGTGGGTAAAGCTGATGCTTCTTCTCCATCTTAATGATTCATGGTGTTCTGGACATCCACAAACCCCATCCTTTGTCTGCGCTTCCGTTGCTCTGTCATCTAGAGTTCAAACAAGGACACAAGTGAGGTAGGAAACCAGGCCACCTCTATTCACTAACGTGCTCCTCTAGTCTGTGACTGACCAGGGCTTTAAGCATCTGCCAGAAAACCCGGTGAGTTGACTCTGGCTGATGAGGAAATATCAAAAAGCACTTGTCCCATGTGTCCCTGACCTCCCCAACAAGAGCTGCAGGAGCCCTTGGCTTTGTATTGAAGTTGTACTGGCTTGGACTGGTTCTGCCTCCTGTTCCCTGCAATCAATGTCTATTTTGGTAAGGACAGCAGGTTTCTACAGTCAGGTGTTCCTCAAGTGTTCCTATTTTTATTAAAAGTGTTTAGTACCTGTTCCTTCAGCTCATTCAGCTGGGAGGTGAGATGGGAGACCAGCTTCATGGTGGTGTTGAGTTTGTCTTGAAGATTTCGGATCTCATTCTGTTCCCCTTCCCCTTCATTGCTGACCAGTGACATGGCTCGCATCCGGGGGAACCAGTCAAGGTTCTTGTTCTGGAAAGGTGATCATGGAGAATAGGAGTTGGAGGAGGGGGTCAGGAGGAGGGAAGAGACCTGGTAGGATTTAACAGGAAGCCTGCCTGTGCTTAGAGATTAAAGAAATTCTCACAGGCTTGTCTGTATCTTTGCAAATTTTCCACTAATGGTCCATTTCTATTTTTTTTTCTTACAACCTTCTGAGCTGAAGTTCACAAGTTTTTCTTTTCTAAATTTCCTTTCCCTCCCTTCTTGCCTTGAAATCACCTTGAAGTCACACACTCTCCTGCTCGCTTCTGCCCTTGGTTCAATCCTTAAATACACAGTGTAAAACATCAAACAGACAATGTGGTGTTGGCTGAGATTGCAAAGTGGAAATAACCAGCTCAGAAAGAACTACAGCACAAAAATGTTTCTAAATATTTTCCAAAAGCTCCTCAAAACTTTTTTTCTTTGGCAAGCTCCTCGCTCTCAAATATTTCCCGAGGGTAGGCAGGTTGAAATAAAGAGCTGCCTTGAGAGGACACACACACGTACCTTGATCATCTGCGCCACGTAACTCTCTGGCCCTGTGTAGTCTGTCTTGTTCTTCACTCGCACCAGCACTATGAAGTACAAGTAGTTCCACATGTTGTGTTCATATTTAATATGTTCCTCAAAGGACACTGTCTTGTTGTCAAACTTGTCCCTTTCGAGTCCTGGGAAAGGCAGTCGAGAAGGGAGGAGATGGGGAAGAGAGGAGAAGGTAAGAAGTGAGCAAGCAAACAAATGTGAAAGGAAGTACAGATAATTATATCCTCTCCCACGTGTGACTTTTAAGAAGTGCTTTTAATAATTAGTTGGCATTTAGCACACAACAAGCATCCAAAACAGGGAAAAATAATCCAGTTGTGTATTCAGGAGGCTTCTATTTAAAGTCCTTACTAGCTATTCCTGCCTAGGGATCTAAAAAGCATAAAATACACCCAGTGGATCTTTTAAGAAAAAAACAACTCTTACTTATTGGGTTTTTCCCTTTTTTTTTGGATGCCTTCCCATGACTGAAAGCACTCTAGAACATCCTCTGTATTTTATTTCCTTAGTAATTTTTTTCCACTGGCTAAGTGATGGTCTCAGGAGTGATGCACAGCAACACGAACTCCACAGTGTGGTGTTTTAGTTTAACACCTCATTAACAGAAGGCGAGGAAACAATACAGATCATTTCCTCTCTCAGTTTGTGTCCTTGGTTAAGGCCCCTCACGCTGCAGTGACCCATCAGTGAACAGATTTAAATTTTGCTGTGAACCAAATGAAAACCAGAAATCAGCTGAAATTCCTTCCCTCAACCTTAGAAGAGAGGAAGAGCTTTGAGATAATTCCTGTAGACTGAGGTCCCAGCACTCACCACAGATGAAACAGGTCGTCTTCAGTATCTCTTCCTTCTTCTGCTTCTCGCTCCTCAGATCAGCAAAGGTGTCAATAATGACCCCAAAGATGAGGTTAAGGACGATAATAATGACAATAAAGAAGAAGAGGAGGTCGTAGACAACCCGAGCAGGAAACAAGGACTCCTGTAATGGATGAAAGGGATCAGTGCGTGTCTTGCACGTCTCTCCTCTAACCACTCCAACCCTGCTGCCTGGTTACACAGGCCATGGGCTGAGGGCACCAGGTGAGGAGGAATGACAGGGACGTGACAGGGGAAGAGAGGAGGAAAGTGCTGGAGAACAGTGTAAGGGGACAGAACTGAAAGGGTCACGGTTTCCAGGGAGGACAGGCAGCTGCACAGCAGTATATGCAGCAGAAAAAAGGGGTCCTGTGTGCTGCCCAAACTCACATCCTTGGATGGCTTCCGCAGAATGTCACCCACGCCCCCTCCGTTCCTCAGACCGTGGTTCAGGACAGTGACGATGCACATGAGCAACGTGTCGCAGGCACGTTCCCACTGGTCAGCATCTGTTTCTAGAGTACCAGAGCAGGGAAATAAAATGAAAAAAAGCCAAATCATCGACAGGGCTGAAGTACCAGACTATTACACTGAATCTAGAGCTGTGGGGATGACAAATCTCCTGGGAGCAGATGTTCCTTGTGGATCTCCCAACCAGCAAATTCCCAGCAGCTCCTCCAGCTTGCTTCTCGCTGAGGAGGTGTTTGGCTGAGCATTCCTGAAGCTCTCACTTTCTTTATGACTCAACTGAATCTACTTCAACAGTTTTAATGCCAAGGTCAGTGCAAAATTTGCAGGCCTTTTTGCCTAACACGTGCCAGAAAGTGGGTTGTTTGTTTCCACCTTTGAAAAGCCAGGATTTTTCTGAGCTCGCTGACAAACCAGGCAGCCAACCTACTCTGCCACTAACAGAATCAACGTTTCTAATGAGCTCACTTACCTTCCAAGGCAGTGGGCACAGCAGAACAGCTAATTTTGTCACTGCTGCATGATTCCATGAAGGTCTCCATGTTCCTTTGCATCCCCAAGGGATTATCTGCAAGTAAAAGAGACCGCAGCCTTGTCAGAGCATCAGCTTGCCTTAGTAAAGCTCTTTGCTGCT